ACTTGCTTGACTGATACTGATGCGATTGCTGATTTAGCGTTGGAAGGCCTTCTGGAAACCCACCCACATCCCCGCACAATTTCTTTGACAGTCCCTGCACAGAATTCTGAACTATCATACACTGAGCACTCCCTGATCACTTTCAGTTTCTGTGGGATAAAACCAGTGCAACCTTTGCTTTCTATGTTGCACCGACAATGGCCCTCGTTATACCCTCAAAGGTCGTTGAGCGGAAACCGCTAACTCTCCCACCCCCCGTCGTATTCTCACCACGACCAGTGTATACCACCCTCGGCTCAGCACAGTCCTCTCAAGGAATGTGCCCCCCTCCACCCACACTTCCGCCGACGCCGCCGCCGCCGCCATATGTACCTGATCGCCCTCTTCCCGCGACACCAGACGCGTTAAAATCTGCTGCGAATGGAGGTGGAAAGTCCAGCGGAGAGGCAGACTCGGGAGGCGGGACCGGAACAGCAGGAGAACAATCCAAGGGTGCTGCTGGAGCTGAAGGGGGAAGTGCAGGGGGTTTTGGGGGATCTGGCGCGGGAACGGCTGCGGGCCAGACGGAGTCGTTGACAATTCAGCAACAAATCCGACAGGCAATGCGGAATTTGCCATCGAGGCAAAAGGTATGGACGGAGCAGACGGGAGTGGGGAGTCATTTGCTTTGGAAATGCTTCTGGGTGCAACCGAGTCGCGAATGTAACGCTTCGGGCCCATTTTTTGGCAGCCGGCCTACTATGATTTCGTCTATGCCGATCGTGATACACTTGAGAATGAAATCAACGAGTTCTACAACTATCAAGATAATCCTTATATCCAAGAGGGACGCATGTTGTTCGAGTCCTCTTTTGAAGGAGGTGTGTTGCTTATTGCTCAGGTACACGTAGAAGCCCCTATTGATTTAGATTTCCATAGAATGGATGTCGGCTGGTGTGGAAAAACGATCCGATTACGTTGAACTCCTGCTGGAAGCTTTGGAGTTGAAGAATCCCGAAGCGCGTTACACGGCGGCGAAGAAGCTTTTGTATATCTCGCAGGGTAGGTTCATGTAGTTCTTCATCAACCTGAGACGAGTAACCAACCGTTTGGTTCGGTTTTAGGTGTTTTTGGCGAGTGTCCAACGACATCGGCGCATCTCTCTTCCATTTTGGAAACGAACACCCTTCTTTTTCGTCTGGGAGGGCTGCCCTACTTTTATCGCTCATTAAAGGTTGTGTCAGCAACACTCGATTTGATATCACGATCCGCGGATTTGCATTGGTCGATGAATGAACGACAAGCTGCCATGGATTTGGCAAATGTTGAGACCTCCATTTATCTCAGCTTGACATATATGATGGTGGAGTGCAATTTGGAAAATGCAAAGCTGGTGGCCGAGTTGGGTGAGTGGGCATCGCGAACTCTTGGGCGCGCTGTAACTATATTCTTAAAAAGTATCTGGGGCTGCACAGCGGATACCCAACCGCCGTTGGCGGCCTATCTTTTCAACTTGGTTGCGCAACTGGCCGAGGGGAATCGAAAGCACTACCCAGTGAAGAAATTGCTGTTATTATTATGGAAAGTGCTTCTCGCAACTGTCGGTGGGACCGATCGGCTGCGACGTTTGAAAAACGCTTCACGGGCGCTGCATGGTCTTCCATCCGCTGAGGAGTCAGGTATTAATCCCAAGACAGAGTGTATTGACGCGTAGTATTGCCATCTCACCTCTCATATCACAATAGCCCCGTACGCTAAAGCCACCCCCCAGGACTACCGTCATTTTCAAGTCCTTTCTGCACATCGATACCCAACATATGTGACCCCCGAAATGATTCCAAATGCGCCGCCCGGCGCGTCCTCGTTATCGCAATCCGACCCGCTACCAGCCAATATCCGTCGTCAGATGCTCCAACCTGGCACGGTTCAACCGTTTGTTGACGAAGTTGACTGCATCCCTACGGCCATAAAGGAATGTGTCGATGTTTACGGGCGCCATGTGTACGTTTCGCTGAGCTCTGTTCAAATCGCAAAGGAGAAAACAATGGTGGAGCAGAAGGCAAAGAGCGATGCCAAGGAGCTGGAAGCGTGGGGCTGGAGGAGGGACAGTAAATTTGAGGCGCACGGTGAGGGTGAAGGATTGAGCGACATGAATAGAGCCGATTTGGAGCGAATCGATACCCTTTATGTAAGTTTGGGGACCATCCAGTTCATCGTACGAGGTGGTATCGTCTGACTTCATAATCAGGAACATCTTCTACCGCACATGGCAACCCACGTCGGCATGCTGGTCCGCCTTCTGTACTATGTCAATCTCGGCAATACGACCACCTCCCCAAATGGTCAAAGTTCGGAGGGAGCGGAAGCTGGTAAAGGTCCGCAACAGCAACAAGACGGGGCAGGAGGCCCTGGTGGGGCACCGACAGACAGTACACCATTGCAACTGGATCCCGCTCAAATGACCCCTCAGCAAAAGCAAGATGCGATGGACCGAGTTGATTTGAATCGACACAAAGAAGTGGTGACCAAGGCCGTCAGTGGGATCCTATTGGTGCTTTTGAAGGCTATGAAGTGTCACCGTGAGTGTGACATGTCTATGCTGTGAAATACGTAGATGTGATCACTCATCCGGCATCCAACTACCTAGACATTCTGAAACTTGAATATATTTCTCAACTGCTCGTTGACAACAACTGCGCAATCCTGATATTGAAAATGCTTAGCATGTGGTTCCAGAACCCTACCCCAGCCGGTGCGGGGGCTGGTGCAGGGGGTGGTGGTGGGGCTGGGACGGCAGGAAATCGGCCTGGAGCTGCGGGAGGTTCTGAGGGTGCGAATGGACCTACGTGGGGTGATGGTGCTGGTGCTGCTGCGGCCAATGCTGGGATGAATGGCGCGGCGGCCGGAATGGCGGCTGGATGGCTGAAAGCAAGGGATGAACCCGATAGCCTGAAGTGAGTTCTGTTTGTATTTGTATGATTCCAAAGGACCGCATGCAGACGACGGGCTAATCGGTATCTTTTCACAGCTTCTTCACGTTCTGTCGCGACCCGGGTGCGGCTCCTGAAGAATTTGATGGGTCTCCGGTGGATTCGCAGACCGACGAGACCCCTGCTGCACCCAACGGACAGGAAGTACCACCAGAGGACCGGGTAGAGTTGACCAGTACCGATAATGGGACCTCCGAAGTTCCCAAACCAACTCCGACGGATGCCGCTGCTCCTGAACCAACAAATCCGACCCCGCCAGCATCGTCAACATCCCCAGTCGCGCCCACTGCCCCACTGCCCATCCCGATTGCTCGGCGGGATTCTGTAGCGGGGCAAACCCCTGCCCCGATCAAGTCCTGTTTCCGGAACTTCTACACCTCCATCAACCTCCTCCGCATTCTCCAAAAACTTACCAAACGCAAAACCCACCGCATGTTGGCCCTAGTGCAATGGAAGGCGAGCGCCGTATTGAAGAGGGTAATCAAAGTAAACAGTGTGGCGTTGCAGCTGTATGCGCTCAAGCTCTTGAAGGGGCAGGTTCCGTATTTGGGGAGAAAATGGCGATCAAGTGAGTGCATTCGTTGGCGGAATTTGATACGTGGCCAGCATTGACAATCGTGATTGCCCCATCAGGTAACATGAAGGTCATTACCGGGATTTACCTGCATTTGAGACCTTATCTAAGGGATGATTATTTGTCTGGAGATGTGGACATGGATGTCGAGGACGCGCTTGTAAGTTTTGGGCGCTCATATTCTGAGCCATGTTGGCGGACGGATATTGATTCCACTGTTGATCTAGGCCCAGGAGCAATACCTTAGAGGATTGATCGTGTTCCATCACCAACGTTTGTACCCCGATGTTTTCCCAGCATCCGCCGCTTCTCCAGATGGAACCGCCACCAATGCGGCCAATCCTCCCAGTCAACCTCCACACCGACGATCATCTCATTCGCACGACCAGGAACATTTGGACGACTTGGACCACATCCTTAACATGTCTCGGCGCGATTCGTACGATGCATCCAACCCGCACCATGCCAGTCTCCTCCATCTCACAACATCCAAATCTTATCATGATCGGTTGAACCTCGACGAAAACTTCATGGAAAACTACGAAGAATGGCTAGTCCGCGAGGTCTATGAACCAGACTACGCGCACAACAACAACTCGCCGACCTCCGCCGGCTGGGGAGACTACGAGACTCCATCATCACCGCGCACACTCTTCAGCGCCACCCAGCGGTTCAACAAAGAGCTATTTGGCGACTACTACGACGATCAAGAGTGGGAGTGGGACGACGGGGACAATACCGGCTGGATTGGTGATTCTGGGCCTGAAGCGGAGCAAGGAGTGGACGAATGGAGGGCGTTTGCAGTTGAGGAAGGGTCACGCGGATGGGGATGGGACTCCGACAACCATCGTTGGAAGGGAGATAAGGACGAGTTCAAGGTTGATTTTGGCGAGGGGGGTTCGGAAGAGATCAAGAGCATCATGGGTCCGAAAGAAAAAGATGACGAGAGCGACGGAAGTGGAGGCGAGGACAGCAGTTACGGAAGTTGGAGTTCGGATGAGAGCGAGGAGGAATCTCAATCCGGGAAAGGAAAACGGAAGGTGATGGGGGACGAATCAGAAGGAGAGGCGTACTTTTGGCCCGACGAGGCCCCCGTGCAAGATGCATATGTCGAGGTATTCGAACAGGGGCTTGCAGGAGGAGAAGGAAGTGGAGGTGAAGTAGGAAGTGTAGGGAAGGAGTAGTTGGAAGCAGCACGGTAGTCGTCTTTACATGAAAGTCGGACCAACCGACGGAATAAACGGTAAAACATGATACAATGCAAGATGACATTCGATGGCGAAATACTGCATATTCTAAATGACGTCTCAGGACAAGACCGAGAAACATTGTCAAGAAGGCGCCCGCCATGAGGTTCAATCACACGGAGAGCAAAAAATGAATAGTCCAAGAAGTTCAATCACACGGAGAGCAAAAAATGAGTCGAACGAAGTTGCTACGCCGAAACGCACTTCTAGGGGCTGAACCGGGAATTGAACCCGGGACCTCTCGCACCCTAAGCGAGAATCATGCTACTAGACCATTCAGCCAGTGATTTTCGTCCACGGAAACACAATCTATCAGGCGATCTCAGCCACAAGCCACGTTGGGCGGGTATCCATTAGAGCACCAGAACCCCTTACCTATTTGGCAATGGATCTCTATTGTTTTGGTGACTTACTTACATTGTTCGGCTACTACTGTATAAGATGATAGAAGCCGGCCTCCGTCCAATTTTCCTTTCAGACACAAAAATTTCTCCTAGAAACGAATTTGTGTCCCCTCCGTCGAGAAGAAGACCGAGCGGATGCCCATCTAATCTTCAACAGCACCCCGATTCTTCCCGGTTCAAAGAGTTGAGTGACATCGGTCTAACACTGATTGGGGTCGGTGCAATGGCAACATTGAAGTTAGCCTGGAATAACGGGAACGCTCTGCTTCACCAAGTGCCGCCTTGAGGGGGAAGGTTGCGGTGCTCCGCGATAGGAACGCAAAGCGAGCGAGTGGGTTCGCTGCTTTTGAATTCGTTGCCGCCGCTCGTGCTCCCGTCGCCGTAGACAAAGCTGGAGAAGGATATGTGTGGGAGTGGCCGTCTCCAGCACCGGGTCCACCGAGAGCGTTCAGAGAGACCGGGACCGGTGTCCAGCGGCAAGCAGTCCTTCAGTTTTGCGCGTCGCCGTTTAGCAGCACGTCAAATACGTCTCGCGAGTATCATCGGAAGCCCAACTGACAGCTTGACCCCTGACCGCCGTTTCCCTCTAGCGGTCGTTTCATCAGCTGCGGGAGTGTCGTCAGGTCGTCTCGTGCTGTGCTGCGAAATCCAACTTCTTCTCATCGCGTTTTTCACGGGGAGGCATTTGAGGTTTGCGTTTGAGCGCTGCCGGGGCGGATCGGTTGACGATTGTTGCGGTCGACTAGAGTCCGAAGGGCTTCCATGACTCAATATTCCGCGACTCTAATGCAAGTAACATAGTGGCGGATACACCTCTTCGCACTTGCGCCTGTCCCGCATACCGGTCCCATTTCCGCGGTGAACCCCGATCACCTCCCCATACCTCCCAGAATATGCTCTGTTGAGGTCCCGTCGCTTTATCATCCGCAATCTGATCATCATCTGCTCCACATTTCTTGCATGTACCGCTCGCAAGGCGCAGTCGTACTCGACGCTTCTGCTACGGAATCCCCCATCTTTATGGGCATCGCCATACACGGTGACATGCGAATTTGTGCCCGAACCAATGTGAAACCCACGACTGCGCAACCTCCAAACTGCGACCACCTATTCATTTAGGGGCTTCGAACATGCAGAATATGCATACATGAGATATATAAAAACAGCATCATCTTCCGCCGGGTTTGCCCTCTCATTCAAGAATTCACCATCCCAACTGCTAGTGGAAATGTTCCGTCAACTCCAGACGGATACCATGGGAGGTTGGGCCGCCACGCGTATTATTATTCACTTTCAATACATCAGTTTTGAAAAGCCAACGATACTTCAATCCTTGCCGACAATCTCCCAATCAGACTGGCTACATCCTTCATCCGAATCCAGACAAGTCCAGCTAGACACCGAACCCGTTTCTTCCCCTCCTTCGTTCCCGGAAGGGCACACCGACATCGCACCCGTGCTCTCCCAGTCCCAACAACTTCCTTGCAGTCCTGGTATTTTTTCGTTTAACCACTCCCCAAGCACCGGTAGACTCCTTCCCCCCTCATCTTCAGCGAGTTCCTTCCATGTTTTTTCAGCCGCGTCCCACAATGCCTGCTCAGTCGCCTCCCCAATGCGTTGAGCTTCATCTGGCGTCAACGCCGGAGCAACCTCCTCCCAAAACTGCCTTCCCTGCTCCTCCACATAATCCTTCATTGCTTTCCAAAACTGCGCCTCCTCCATATCCTCCTCCCTCGGCGGGATATCTATCAACCCTTCGTCCATCCCGTGTGCAAAGTACGCTTGATAAGCCCTCCGCCCACTATTGGGCCGTCCCTTGCAGCTTCCCAATTTTTTGCAAGTTTGAAACGTATTGTGGCACCAGCTGCATGTGACGCGGTAGGGGCTGGGGTGGGAGGCCTTGGAGCGGGATGTGGGTTTTCGGTAAACGGTTGAGGCGCGAAGCCAGAATGGGTTTGCAGAGGACGTGGGCGGAATCCAACCGTGAGGGCGGGTAGTTCGACGCATGGTATATATCTGTTTAGGTGGAACGTGTGTTTCTAGTGCTAATTGGCTTTGGGAAACGAGTGCTCTGCGAAAGGAGCTGGCAATCTGTTGACATACGGCCTAATGGGAGCGTTTGATGTTGGTCTTTTTATAGGCAAATACTCGCGGTTGGGGGACAGCCACCCAAGTGTGGCACAGGAATCCCACCCCCCCTTTACACACACTACCTATAGACCCCATGAATTTGGCATGCCCGCTTGTCGCGGCTACTGAATCTTTTGGAGATTTGAATCTGAGGGAGTTGCCATGTATAGACGCCAGCCGCACATCACAAGCTGAGGTTGAGGAGGGAATGCCTTTACCTCTACCTTTCCTCCTTCCCCTATACCCGTTTGGCCTGAAAACCGGGACTTATGATAATCAGTCCAGATCAACTCCGAATGTGAGTTGAGGGCCCTTGGTGCTGCGTGACTCCGACAGCATGCAGGACGCAGGAGAAAACAACACTGAAAATTCGGATACCCTGAGCTTCAGCTGCGCGTTCGACCAGCTTATGTAAGCAGATTGTTGAAAATTCGGTCGAGGTAGTAGAGACAAAGTACCGGCATTTCGAAAGTGTAAGACCATCAAGCGGCCGACGTATCGGGTATCCTAACCGGTGCGCCCATAGTCTGGAGAGTTAAGGCGCCCGGCCAGGTAAATCTCCCACCGGATCCCGAAAGAAACTGAAAGGGCGTGGGTTCGACCCCCCACTGCATACAGACCCTACCTGTCGGGTCGAGGAGGACCTGGTGGTTTATGGCGTCCGTGAACTGCCTAGACATTCCTCTAGTAGACTGGTGGCGCGAACACTAATGTTTTGCCGCTTCGACACAGAATTAACAATGGTTGCTGCTGGAAAACGATTCAAGAAAGCTCAAGATATCACAAGGAGCTGGTCCGCCGCGAGGCGTCAACAATTACTCCAAACTCCTGAGATTCAAGAGCTCCTCACCGCCCTCGAATTGGATAAGGCTCACTTGGTACCAGTCTCAACTGCAACTGTTGCTAATGTGAAGGCCGTCACCGGTTTCAATTTTTCTGCGAACCGCTATGCGGGCTACTCAAACTGGGATCTCGACGCCCTTAATCCTTTACCGCCTGTTTGCCCTTCATCAGTTTTCATGGATCACCTTAAACGGGTGAACAAGTGGTTCAACATTGCGAAGGCAGCAGTCACTCGGTCAATCTTGGATGCACCTATCTTGGAAGCTGCCGAGCACTTTCAAAAACAACAACCTGATCAGAAAACCCTTTTGCCATTCTTTGGCGAAGTGAGCGTCAGCCAATATAAGCCAGACAAGTCACTCTCTCGGGTTACATGGACTATATGTTTGCCTATGGGGAAGCTGAGAAGGAGTTGGTTCACAATATTGTCTTGATAGGGGAAGCAAAAAACGCGGTGACCGCCATTGGGGGCCGCGTCATGCTGCCGCTTTTGGCATACATGGCCATGGTTTATGGTGCAAGGCGAGCCGCACGTAAAAGCAATGCTGGAATCTTCGGCTTCCAGACGAACGGGACGCAGTGGATTTTTGCCCGGATAGACAACAACGGCGGCGTCTGGCAGTCACCTCAATACGACAACCAGCCCACCGTCTTGCGCCATTTATCCTTTCTCCTTAGTTGTGTCAAGACAGCCTCTCAGACTACAACTCCGTTTGGGTCCACGGAAGATCTGGGTCGGAGTGCTTTAGCTGACGCATTTGAAAACCTGCCTGGGTACAAGCCCGCAATACGTACAACAATTCAGGAGCGGGCGCTTTTGGATGTCGAGGTGGAGACTTACAGTTTGGATCCCGTCGGGACGGAGGAGCGGGACGATGACGAAGAGTAATGAGAGAATCATTGATATGGAGCGCGTCGTCGCTTGCATTATACTTCTGTATTCCTACGTTAGGGTCGAGCAGGTTATTAGCCTAGGCGAAAAGTATTAAATGTATGCGTTTTTGTAATGTATCTCCCGGTACCTATTTGTGTGGGATGGGTTTTAACGTACGTAGCGGTTTCGTGAATTAACGCGGTCAGATATGTGGCTTTTCGGGATACCGGTATGGCGGGAAGAACTTTAGCATGGTGCTCATCTGGTCAAAGAAGGCATTTGCACCGACGACTCCTTCCGCCATCCAGCACAAGGAAACGCGCACCCTCGTAAAGAATATTCCCCTACCAGTGCCAATAACAGCAGAACCGGGAACCAGCATCTTGCTTGCCGCCTTGGTCGGGTTGCATCCTCAACAATGTCGGTGACGGGCAGTGCGAAACCAACCATAGCCATTCCTGGCTTGTATCCCAGAACCGGGAAACCGAGAACATTGGGTCCTGCCGAAACCTTTGCAATATCCGGGATTGCTCCTGCCTGTAAGTGTTTGATAGGCTGGAAAATGTGCTGTTGTACAGAGAGGGTGGTTGACCAGCGACATGGGTGTGGAAATACGCGCTGGTCTCTCGTTTTCGCTGACCAGTTTATTTTTCACAATACTAGTGGCAGTCATTTTTACCAATCCTTTCGACACCGCGAAGTAAGTTGCGCATGTCGTTTCATTGAAAATTATGAGTCCTCGGGAATGGGATATATTCAGTGTTGAATAACACAAAACACACAGAGTCCGTCTCCAACTTCAGGGAGAAAGATTGAAACAGGCGAAAAAAGGAATTGCACCTCCTCCTCAAGTGGTATGTAGAAGGGCACTATTTTGCCGAATAGCTGCTGCCCAGAAACCTCCGCCTTTTTTCACGCGTTTCCGCCCTTGTGAATAGGTGTATAAAAATAGTTTCGACACCATTCATAAAATATTCACTAATGAAGGTTTCAAAGGCTTGCAGAAAGGTCTTACGCCAGCGATTCTGCGA